AGTCATTGTTATCTACAATTTGTGTATTTTTAATAATTTTAAGACAGCTTTTGTGACAATAATTGTATTAAAATTTCGGTAGGTCTACATTCCTACATCAGGTTTAAACTCTAATTTAACACGGTTTTGCACACGGAGTGTAAGCTGATATGAACTACAAACTATATACATCAACTGTTAAAATTTCTGGACAAAATATTAATGACAATGTTTGAGTTAAAATATCAGTGTCAGCAGTACAGCATGACACATTCATTTATTACGACTGACAAGGATTTTAAAACTTACCTTGGTGTTGTTAATGATGCACTGCACCAATACACTGAAACCAGAGGACCTAAGACACTGAAACCAGAGGACCTAAGATACTGAAACCAGGGGACCTAAGATACTGAAACCAGGGGATCTAAGACACAGAAACCAGAGGACCTAAGATACTGAAACCAGGGGACCTAAGATACTTACCCCAGGGGATCTAAGATACTCACCCCAGGGGGTCTAAGATACTCACCCCAGGGGACCTAAACCAGAGCTGAAACCAGAGGACCTAAGATACTGAAACCAAGGGACCTAAGTTACTCACCCCAGGGGATCTAAGACACAGAAACCAGAGGACCTAAGACACTGAAACCAGACGACCTAAGACACTGAAACCAGAGGGCTTAAGAACTGAAACCAGAGGACCTAAGACACTAAAACCAGAGGGCTTAAGAACTAAAACCAGAGGACCTAAGACACTGAAACCATAGGACCTAAGATACTGAAACCAGAGAACCAAAGACACTAAAACCAGAGGGCTTAAGAACTAAAACCAGAGGACCTAAGACACTGAAACCAGATGACCTAAGATACTGAAACAATAGGACCTAAGACACTGAAACCAGATGACCTAAGATACTGAAACAATAGGACCTAAGATACTGAAACCAGAGAACCAAAGACACTAAAACCAGAGGACCTAAGATAATCACCCCAGGGGATCTAAGATACTGAAACCAGAGGACCTAAGACACTGAATTCAGAGGACCTAAGACACTGAAACCAGAGGACCTAAGATACTGAAACCAGAGGACCTAAGACACTGAAACCAGAGGACCTAAGATACTGAAACCAGGGGACCTAAGTTACTCACCCCAGGGGATCTAAGACAGAGAAACCAGAGGACCTAAGACACTGAAACCAGACGACCTAAGACACTGAAACTAGAGGACCTAAGACACTGAAACCAGAGGACCTAAGATACTGAAACCAGAGGACCTAAGATAATCACCCCAGGGGATCTAAGATACTGAAACCAGAGGACCTAAGACACTGAAACAATAGGACCTAAGATACTGAAACCAGAGAACCAAAGACACTAAAACCAGAGGACCTAAGACACTGAAACCAGAGGACCGAAGACACTGAATTCAGAGGACCTAAGACACTGAAACCAGAGGACCTAAGATACTGAAACCAGAGGACCTAAGACACTGAAACCAGAGGACCTAAGATACTGAAACCAGAGGAGCTAAGACACTGAAACCAGAGGACCTAAGATACTGAAACCAGAGGACCTAAGATACTGAAACCAGAGGACCTAAGACACTGAAACCAGAGGACCTAAGATACTGAAACCAGAAGAACTAAGATACTGAAACCAGAGGACCGAAGATACTGAAACCAGAGGACCTAAGACACTGAAACTAGAGGACCTAAGACACTGAAACCAGAGGACCTAAGACACTGAAACCAGAGGACCTAAGATACTGAAACCAGAGGACCTAAGACACTGAAACCAGAGGACCTAAGATACTGAAACCAGAGGACCTAAGACACTGAAACCAGAGGACCTAAGATACTGAAACCAGAGGACCTAAGATACTCACCCCAGGGGATCTAAGATACTTACCCCAGGGGACCTAAGATACTGAAACCAGAGGATCTACGATACTGACACCAGAGGACCTAAGAAACTGAAACCAGAGGACGTAAGACCTAAGATACTGACACCAGAGGACCCACTGGGGACTGAAACCAGAGGACCTGAAACCAGAGACCTAACTGAAACCAGAGGACCTAAGACACTGAAACCAGAGGACCTAAGATACTGAAACCAGAGGACCTAAGACACTGAAACCAGAGGACCTAAGATACTGAAACCAGAGGACCTAAGACACTGAAACCAGAGGACCCTGAAACCAGAGGACCTAAGACACTGAAACCAGAGGACCTAAGATACTGAAACCAGAGGACCTAAGACACTGAAACCAGAGGACCTAAGATACTGAAACCAGAGGACCTAAGATACTGAAACCCTAAGAGAGGACTGAAACCAGAGGAGACACTGAAACCAGAGGACCTAAGATACTGAAACCAGAGGACCTAAGACACCTGAAGACACAGAAACCAGAGGACCTAAGACACTGAAACCAGACGACCTAAGACACTGAAACCAGAGGGCTTAAGATACTGAAACCAGAGGACCTAAGATACTGAAACCAGAGGACCTAAGACACTGAAACCAGAGGAACTGAAACCAGAGGACCTAAGACCTACCAGAGGACCTAAGACACTGAAACCAGAGGACCTAAGACACTGAAACCAGAGGACCTAAGATACTGAAACCAGAGGACCTAAGATACTGAAACCAGAGGACCTAAGACACTGAAACCAGAGGACCTAAGATACTGAAACCAGAAGAACTAAGATACTGAAACCAGAGGACCTAAGATACTGAAACCAGAGGACCTAAGACACTGAAACCAGAGGACCTAAGACAATGAAACTATAGGGCGTAAGATACTGAAACCAGAGGAGCTAAGACACTGAAACCAGAGGACCTAAAACCAGAGGACCTACTGAAACCAGAGGACCTAACTGACTAGACTGAAACCAGAGGACCTAAGACACTGAAACCATAGGACCTAAGATACTGAAACCAGAGGACCTAAGACACTGAAACCAGAGGACCTATAATACTGAAACCAGAGGACCTAAGATGCTGAAACCAGAGGACCTAAGACACTGAAACCAGAGGACCTAAGATACTGAAACCAGAAGAACTAAGATACTGAAACCAGAGGACCTAAGATACTGAAACCAGAAGAACTAAGATACTGAAACCAGAGGACCGAAGATACTGAAACCAGAGGAGCTAAGACACTGAAACCAGAGGACCTAAGATACTGAAACCAAAAACCAGATACTGACACCAGAGGACCTAAGACACTGAAACCAGAGGACCTAAGATACTGAAACCAGATGAACCTAAGATACTGAAACCAGAGGACCTAAGATACTGAAACCAGAGGACCTAAGACACTGAAACTAGAGGACCTAAGACAATGAAACCAGATGACCTAAGATAAGACACTGAAACCAGAGGACCTAAGATACTGAAACCAGAAGAACTAAGATACTGAAACCAGAGGACCGAAGATACTGACACCAGAGGACCTAAGACAATGAAACCATAGGGCGTAAGACACTGAAACCAGAGGAGCTAAGACAATGAAACCAGAAGAACTAAGATACTGAAACCAGAGGACACAGAAACCAGAGGACCTAAGACACTGAAACCAAAGGACCTAAGACAATGAAACCATAGGGCGTAAGATACTGAAACCAGAGGACCTAAGATACTGAAACCAGAGGACCTAAGATACTGAAACCAGAGGACCTAAGACACTGAAACCAGAGGACCTAAGATACTGAAACCAGAGGACCTAAGAAACTGAAACCAGAGGACCTAAGACACTGAAACCAGATGACCTAAGATACTGAAACCAGAGGACCTACGATACTGAAACCAGAGGATCTACGATACTGACACCAGAGGACCTAAGAAACTGAAACCAGCGGACGTAAGACACTGAAACCAGATGACCTAAGATACTGAAACCAGAGGACCTAAGATACTGAAACCAGAGGACCTAAGAAACTGAAACCAGAGGACCTAAGACACTGAAACCAGCGGACGTAAGACACTGAAACCAGATGACCTAAGATACTGAAACCAGAGGACCTACGATACTGAAACCAGAGGACCTAAGATACTGAAACCAGAGGACCTAAGATACTGAAACCAGAGGACCAAAGACACTGAAACCGAAGGACCTTAGACAGTGAAACCAGAGGACCTAAGACACTGAAACCAGAGGACCTAAGATACTGAAACCAGGGGACCTAAGATACTGAAACCAGAGGACCGAAGATACTGATACCAGACGACCTAAGACACTGAAACCAGACGACCTAACACACTGACACCAAAGGGCCTAAACCACAGAAACCAGAGGATCTAAGATATACACGGGCCCTTCATATCTGATATTCTTTTACAAACAACTCATTCAAACGTGTATTTTGATAAACTTAAGATAAAAAACAAAATTGACAATAGTTCATGTTGCAATTTTTCACATGCAAAGTGTGAGTACACGTCACCAAACAAACAAAAACACCCGACTGGAAGCGTTGAAATTGCTTATGGCCGATATGAACACTTTTTGCACTGCTGTATTCAATTCTAAAATATCATTGAAATATGTTATTCACTTGTGACTTTTGTACAATGTCTGACTGACAGGTATTTACACTTGTAAGTCGAGCCCAGGTTCACAAATTGGGATGGCTGGATAAGAGATTCCAGTTTTTGTTTTCAAGTATGTGTATGTATGAGATAGTGGGGTAGAGGGTGTATGTTTGTACTTCAGTTGAAATGTCATTATCTTTAAACAATGAGCTTATGAAACAAATTGTCGCAAAGAACATAGGAAGTAAAACTGATATAAATTCACTCTTTCTGAAAACTGCATTTTGTAACAGCATGCAGTAAAGAACCGGTACAATTACTACATACATAAACGTCACAGCTGACGAACCATTATTGTGAACGTCCTATTAAATAACCCCTGTATGTGATACACATATGTAATGTATGCGTGCACTGTTTACAGGTAGTATATAATCACACAGCGAAGTGAGTCGGGGTTGCTTTGTGTTACGAGTGCAGGCGAAACGTTACAGAAGCAGAATTGTGAGCGCTCCCTCTGTCTGATCATCAATATATCACCACCATGTCGACTCTGAAATCCTACGCTAAAGGTAACTCTTACAGACCACTTTAAACTGATAAAAATTTACAGGTTTTTATTTCAATTACATTTTCTTAAATCTCGAAACAGCATTTCATAACAAATTTCAATATGTATATGTGTTTGAATGATAGTTGATATGATGCTATTTTAATATATATATATACAAAACATTACTGTTAGTAGATGTACAAGCAAGTTTATACCGGATTTGTAGCTTTATCAGCTGTCGATTTAAACACACCACAGCTATTGTACATACTCAGTGTTTTTGTTTACTTGGCTCATAGCTATCATTACGTGAACCATGCCCTACATAACGCAGTCACTGGGTAAAAAACTAATCAATGTACAGATTCCGAAATAAAGATTTTCCCCACTGTCTGGTAACAGCATTATTGTCGAAAACGTAATACACTTCTATTCAGACCAGGATAGTTCAACATTCACTCAGATTATAACTGATTCCCAGGCCCCTGTGAAACAAACCAGGGTAGCTAAATATTCACCTAGAATATAACTAATCCCCAGGCCCCTGTTGTACAAACCAGGGTAGCTCAACATTCACTCAGATTAAAACTAATCCCCAGGCCCCTGTGATATAAAACAGGGTAGCTCAACATTCACTCAGATTAAAACTAATCCCCAGGCCCCTGTGATACAAAACAGGGTAGCTAAATATTCACCTAGATTATAACTGATTCCCAGGCCCCTGTGAAACAAACCAGGGTAGCTAAATATTCACCTAGAATATAACTAGTTCCCTGGCCCCTGTTGTACAAACCAGGGTAGCTCAACATTCACTCAGATTAAAACTAATCCCCAGGCCCCTGTGATATAAAACAGGGTAGCTCAACATTCACTCAGATTAAAACTAATCCCCAGGCCCCTGTGATACAAAACAGGGTAGCTAAATATTCACCTAGATTATAACTGATTTCCAGGCCCCTGTGAAACAAACCAGGGTAGCTAAATATTCACCTAGAATATAACTAGTTCCCTGGCCCCTGTTGTACAAACCAGGGTAGCTCAACATTCACTCAGATTAAAACTAATCCCCAGGCCCATGTGATACAAAACAGGGTAGCTAAATATTCATCTAGATTATAACTGATTCCCAGGCCCCTTTGAAACAAACCAGGGTAGCTAAATATTCACCTAGAATATAACTAGTTCCCTGGCCCCTGTTGTACAAACCAGGGTAGCTCAACATTCACTCAGATTAAAACTAATCCCCAGGCCCATGTGATACAAAACAGGGTAGCTAAATATTCACCTAGATTATAACTGATTCCCAGGCCCCTGTGAAACAACCCAGGGTAGCTAAATATTCACCTAGATTATAACTGATTCCCAGGCCCCTGTGATACAAACCAGGGTAGCTCAATATTCACCTAGATTATAACTAATTCCCTGGCCCCTGTGATACAAACCAGGGTAGCTCAATATACTGTCACTAATCCCAGGTCCCTGTAATACAACCCCGGATATGTCAATGTCCACATATACTGTCACTAATCCCAGGTCCCTGTAATACAACCCCGGATATGTCAATGTCCACATATACTGTCACTAATCCCAGGTCCCTGTAATACAACCCCGGATATGTCAATGTCCACATATACTGTCACTAATCCCAGGTCCCTGTAATACAACCCCGGATATGTCAATGTCCACATATACTGTCACTAATCCCCAGGTCCCTGTAATACAACCCCGGATATGTCAATGTCCACATATACTGTCACAAACCCCAGGTCCCTGTAATACAACCCCGGATATGTCAATGTCCACATATATTGTCACTAATCCCCAGGTCCCTGTAATACCACCCCGGATATGTCAATGTCCACATATACTGTCACTAATCCCAGGTCCCTGTAATACAACCCCGGATATGTCAATGTCCACATATACTGTCACTAATCCCAGGTCCCTGTAATACAACCCCGGATATGTCAATGTCCACATATACTGTCACTAATCCCCAGGTCCCTGTAATACAACCCCGGATATGTCAATGTCCACATATACTGTCACTAATCCCCAGGTCCCTGTAATACAACCCCGGATATGTCAATGTCCACATATACTGTCACTAATCCCAGGTCCCTGTAATACAACCCCGGATATGTCAATGTCCACATATATTGTCACTAATCTCCAGGTCCCTGTAATACAGTCCCGGATATGTCAATGTCCACATATATTGTCACTAATCCCCAGGTCCCTGTAATACAGTCCCGGATATGTCAATACTCAAAACTCACACTTCTATTATTATGTTTACGCAACTTACATGTAGTTTCTATTATAATTTGCAAAGTAAAGATACCAGAACGGTCTACTTTCACAATAGTGGTGTTGGATATCCGATATCTTTATCATATAAACTGAAGTGTGAAATATCTCAGTGAATTGAAATGGGACGATCATCCTGTTTAGATGAAAAAACGCACGAACGTCAAATTTAATGGTGTACATCTATATTTTGTAAACTGCATATAGTTAAACCTAAACATTGCACTGGGTTCGACATTTCGGCGTAGATTCATCATTGTACAACTTTTATCATTACGTTGTCGGTTCCCACTGTTTTTTAACTTTGTTTTTTTTTTAAATTATTATTTTGACTTAGAAATATAAAATTCAAATGATTTAATGGATATCAGTTAAATATTCTTCCGTTTTGTTCCATTACAAACGTAAAGTTTTCAGTTCTGATTTTTCTAGTAAATCATGAAATATACAGTTGATTTAAGAATATATATGGAACAGAAGAATACCCTACAACTAAATTTTAAGACGTAGTTTTTCCTTTGATAAAGCATGCTTTTATAGAAAAAAACTTACAGACTTATTTTTAGGATAGTCATATTTAATAGACAGGCTTGGTTTCGATGTTTGAGGGTGCCTTCGGAAATGAAGGACAAAAGGCATTACTGTGTTGTTAATTTAGTCCTGCCATTCGTTATAATATCGTGGGCGCAAATGTTTGTCAGGTATATAGTTAAAACTAACAGAAGGTAATGTGACAGCGTTTTTATGTCAATAAATCCCATTCTGTTTGTATAGGTACCGAGATGCCGGCTTTGACGCCCGGAAAACTACGGCTATACAGCATGAGATTCTGTCCTTTTGCTCAACGAACAAGACTTGTACTGGCACACAAAAACATTGAGTAAGTAACATATCTGTTATAAAACCTTTCCTCAAATTTATAAGTCAACTACATCAATATTCATTTATGTCTACCTGTTCTCTTGTCGTTGTTGTTTTTGTTGCTGCTGCTGCTGTCGTAGTAGTAGTAGTTGTTGTTGTTGTTGTAGTTGTCGTCGTCGTTGTTGTTGTCGTCGTTGTTGTCGTCGTTGTTGTCGTCGTCGTCGTTGTTGTCGTCGTCGTTGTTGTTGTTGTCGTCGTCGTCGTCGTTGTTGTTGTTGTTGTCACCGTCCTGACTGTTGTTGTCAAGCCCGTTGAATAAGTAAAAATAAATATATCGGACAGAAAACATGACATTTTGGTAGGTCCATGTTCAGCATCAAATTAATGTTGTATTGCTTCATCCATTATCTTTATGTACAAAAATTGTTTGTTGGTTGCTTCTAGATTTGAAACGGTAAACGTTGACCTGAAGGAGAAACCTGAATGGTTCCTTGAGAGAAATCCGCTAGGATTGGTACCCGTTCTGGAGCAGGACGATAAAATTATATACGAATCTGCTGTCACGTGTGATTACCTTGACGATGTTTACCCAGAAAACAAACTGACCCCGTCTGACCCCTACAGCAAAGCTCGAGACAGGATCCTCATGGAAATGTTCAGCAAGGTAATTTTGATGTATGTCAAGTAAATCGGTACGATGCTCTGCTGAATATCTCGTCTACTATGTCTGCATTAAAATACTCTGCGCGATATTATCTTAATTTATGACTTACAATGAATTATGTTATAAAAGGCATTATTCACTGTACCGTAATACGAAATATAGAAGTTACTTAGCATCACTGACGAGTCCTAGAAGGACGAAACAGCTGTATGATGTAGCATCACTTACGAGTCCTAGAAGGACGGAACAGTTGTATGATCTAGAATCACTGACGAGTCCTAGAAGGAGGACGAAACAGCTGTATGATGTAGCATCACTGACGAGTCCTAGAAGGACGAAACAACTGTATGATCTAGAATCACTGACGAGTCCAAGAAGGACGAAACAGCTGTATGATCTAGCATCACTGACGAGTTCTAGAAGGAGGACGAAACAGCTGTATGATGTAGCATCACTGACGAGTCCTAGAAGGACGAAACAACTGTATGATCTAGAATCACTGACGAGTCCAAGAAGGACGAAACAGCTGTATGATCTAGCATCACTGACGAGTCCTAGAAGGAGGACGAAACAGCTGTATGATCTAGCATTACTGATGAGTCCTTGAAGGAGGACGAAACAGCTGTATGATCTAGCATCACTTGCGAGTCCTAGAAGGAGGACGAAACAGCTGTATGATCTAGAATCACTGACGAGTCCTAGATGGACAAAACAGCTGTATGATCTACAGTAATAGGCATTACTTTCAATAGACACTGCCTTTTGTTCGTCTATTAAACAGAGAAATGAATTGCAGGTATTTGTTTATTTCACTAGCAAGTGTTATTGTCGGGTCAAATTTTTGTATGTTATTCATTATAAACGGATAATTGAAGTTTGAAGTCAAATGTTTTCATCACGTTTAACACAGGATTTGCCAACCCATCGCAACATATTGAAAGATATAAAAAAAAGTTTGTTATCACTTTTAATCACGTTTATATGTATCATATAGGAATATGTGAGTAAAAATGGTTACGTTCTTAAACAATGATCAACACGGTAATATAACGTATTTTACTACTGTCATTCTCGTTCCATATTGTATGGTGGAAATTCAAGTGTAATTAATAGGAAAATATCAACCTGTCGTTATGTTACATGCATTAACCTCACATCATGATAAATTTGATCAAAATCAACAATAAATCAGCCATGAAACAGGTAATCAATAATAAGTTATCTTTTCAGTATTGATCTACATTTTGGTCAGTTAAGTCACTCTTTGCTTACGATGCATAAAATAACAAAATGTCCATCTGTACACATATACATGTCCTTACATGGTCACTCTCTCTACTCCATTCTCATTAAATTGTAAACTGATTACCGTCATATAAACAAGGGTTTGATTTTCTGGTGGAGTTGATATTTTACACTTCCCCAGCCGTTATATATTGAGTATATGGTAAGTTGTAACATGTATATGGTAGTAATTGATTTAAACTGTAGGATCAATAGCATTTTCGTGACAATTTTTTTTCTCAAGTTCCATAACTATAAGTAATTGATTTAAATGACATTTTATCATTATTTTGAACTGGCCTTGTTTTCCTGATTGGATGGTTTTGCAATGAAATGGTGCCCATGATACCTTTACATTATTAAATGGTGTCTATTTTAGAGCGATGATCAATAACTGTACATGTGTTTGTGTTGTATATCATATCAATGATGCTCTGCTATAACAACGATATAACATTATACACCAGCTGGTGACACACTACTACGGGACGTTTAGGAGCAAAGGCAAAGACCCCGAAGCTTTGGAGAGTATGTGGAAAAATATGTTACCGTTTGAAAAAGCCATCGCAGAAAGGGGTACCTATTTTGGAGGTAAGTTTTTTCCCTTCCCCTTTTGTCAGAACTTTATTTCAATATATCGACATATCATAATATTCAAACGTATTGCTGCTAGAAAGTTTATTCATCTTGAATGTAATCGTTATCATTTATAAGTCATTTTTATTACATTTAAAGACAACCTTTGTTCTGGTTTTCAGGCGACAAGCCGTCGATGTTGGACTTCTTTGTGTGGCCGTGGTTCGAACGAATGGCCGTCATGGTAGCAATGATGTCCGAGGTGAACCCTTTCCCTGCTGAAAAATTCCCCAAACTTACAGCATGGGTAGAAGTGATGAAAACACTACCCGCTGTCAAGGAAACCATGTTCGACACCACTACACATTTAATTTTCCTACAAAGCAATGCAGCAGGGAAGCCCAACTACGACATTGGTCTGACAATGTGATGTGTGATACCGAACAAGCTTGTGTCCTATCACACATGGAATGTGCATTGAATAATAATTGGCAATTAAACTATCAAAAGATACAAACGTTAAACGCAAAAATGAAAAGTCAATCGAGTTAACACAATGAGGTAATATGAACTTTATTTATTTACAATAATTGCGAGTCAAGCTGTAATCGCCCCTCAACAAACAAGTTATTCCAAATTGTATTAATCACTCTTGTTAGCCTGAATGTAAGCGCGCGAAGGGGCTTGCTGTTAGGATACAGTAGTATTCTGGTTAACCCAACGTGGTCGGGCAGGTATTACAGATGATTGCTATTTTAAATGACACTGTTATAACTACAATAAATTATTGTTAATGTTTATAATTACGAGCCTGTTATTGTTATACATTCTTCAGATAAAGTCAATACCAACTCCATTGTTTGTTTGATCCAGACTGTGCGGTCTTTCTCATTACCGTACCAAAGCTTGAGGAAATCCATGTGGTAATACAGAGTTCTACGTTTGTTTGATACCAGGACGGTATCGTTTTGAAATGATAGCAAATAAGAAACATTTTCCTCGTTTCCCGGTCTGCTAAGAATCGCCTTCAAGATGTGACGGGAAATTGCTGATTTATTCAATTTCATTTACAAAAGGCAAGATGTCATAATAGAATCTGTAACAACCTACAATTCACTTTTGTCTGTTGATAAAACCATCAAATTTTCCAACCTGAAAACGTAGCTTTTCCGTGTTGACTATCACTGACCACGCCTCCATGATACATCCCACTTACTCTTATGAGCACGTGATCTCCCTCGACCAATGGAAGTACAACAATCGCAGTAGACTGATGTATGTCGGTGATGTCCTCGGAGTCGGTATCAGAACTTCCCATTACTTCACCATTTACTACAAGAGACGTTACGATAACAGTATGGATTCTAGACAAAAGTTTCCATGTAATAACATATGTCCCGGATACCGGTACCGTGTAGATTCCTTCACGTGGATTGTAGCCATTTCCTTGGTCAAGTGTTTCTTCGTCATATACAATTATCTCTCCTGAAGACAGGGTCTTGGAAGCCGACATTTTTGTGTGGAAAGCAACAACTTCTGACGGGGCAACGCCTGAACAACGAAAACTTATTGGCTAAGAGAGAATCAACTACAATCTACGTTTAGTGTTTACATCTGTTAGGTGTTCTATACAGCATATATACCACATAGATACCACATATATACCACATACATACCACATAGATACCACATAGATACCACATACATACCACATAGATACCACATATATACCACATACATACCACATACATACCACAAAGATACCACATACATACCACATACATACAACATAGACACCACATAGATACCAAATACATACCACATACATACCACAAAGATACCACATACATACCACATACATACAACATAGACACCACATAGATACCAAATACATACCACATACATACCACATATATACCACATACATACCACATACATACCACATACATACCACATACATACCACATAGATACCACATAGATACCACATACATACCACATAGATACCGCATACATACCACATACATACCACATACATACCACATAGATACCACATACATACCACATAGATACCACATACATACCACATACATACCACATAGATACCACATACATACCACATACATACCACATAGATACCACATACATACCACATACATACCACATAGAAACCACATACATACCACATAGATACCACATACATACCAAATACATACTACATACATACCACATACATACCAAATACATACCACATACATACCACATACATACTACATACATACCACATACATACCAAATACATACCACATACATACCACATACATACCACATAGATACAACATACCAATAAAATATCACCTATAACGGAATAGTGACGTTAAAATCTGACTTAACACCATTACACATATCAAAATAATAGCACGCTGCCTTAAATGACATTGTCCTTATTGTCCACAAAACGCTATTCTCAGTAACGACTAGGTGAAAAATAATTTCTATACTATGTACAGAACTTTGTCTCATTGTAATGAAATATAGGTTATATGTCTAAATCAGTAGCAGCAAGTGAGAGAGAGAAAAGAAAAGAAAAAGAAAAAAGAAACGGCTTGCGAAAAATGGGTTTTAGCTTTAACACAATTCTTCACATTTTATATCATGGCCATTAGTGGTATACACACTGACACGGGTAAGTCTTATACTCCGTCTGAATAAGGAGAGACGCCATTGAGCGAAGATTGCCCTTAACGAACAGAACATTTTTGAAATATAATTACAAGGACTCCAGCTATACTCGGTATTAAGAGTTTACATACGTTTGTTTCTCCTCAGAGTAGGGTCGCTGGGTCTCCTACTTTTAACAGAGAGATCTACCATTTTTTTTGTTCATCATGTCCGAAATTGGTTCCAGTGACTTCTTCAGTTGTATCGCCTTCCTTTATGTTTATTCGTTTGCCATTTTCTTGTAGTCCGATAATTGGTGTCTTTCCATTATCTACGTTGGTTTTTATTCCTGTATCATCGACACCAGATAGATAGCCATTTAAAATGTTTCTTCCTTGTTCACCTATTTCTTTTTCCTCTCGCTGCTGTAACCATTCTGAGTTTTCATTTGCAGTGCCCTGATTGTTTTCAAGTTCACGTATTCTAGCATCTATGTATTGTTTCATATGTGACATTTGCGTGTTTTTCTTCTCCAATTCCGTGTCAAGCCTTGCCTCAAGCTCGCTTATTCTAGCATCCTTTGCCATCAGTAGGTTCTCCAACCTGGTGACTTTCTGGTCTAAAGAGGTCACGAATTCAGTCCAATGTTTTGAGGCATCATTAGCACACACTGCTGATCCATGCAGTATATAAGATATGATACACAATTTAATGACAAGACGACCAGCCATTTCTATCGTGTCCGTTTCAACCCTACTTTGTAAGATATTGTTTGAAGGCCTTTACGATCTAAGTGTCGTGGAATTCAGGGTAGTTACGATGGAAGGGTTATAGCTCCTTACTTGGTGTAACAGGACGATACATCGGCCGGGATTACTTATGTACGTGACGGGGGCATGAGAGACAGATATAAGGAGATAATACACACATACACGTACCCTTAAACAACCGTATAATTTTAACTCATTATCAACGGAGCGAAAGAAATGCAGATTCGAAAACGTGCGATCTCTTGGAAAGAAATATAATAAATAAATAGATAAAATAAAAAGGATAATGAAATAAGGTGTCCTGAAACGACACATGTCTTCTGTTTCAGCAACACTTACCATAGGCGAGTACATGTATAGGGAAGCCAAACTAAAATTTTGTTTTGAGGAACAAAAGCACGTGTCTTCTCTATATTTGTTGCTTTGTAGTAGGTCCGGTGAGAAAGAATGAAAATTAAGAAATTTAACAGTTCTGAAAGAAAACTTATGGAATAATAAGCTCTTTTTACCTTTGACCTTGAGGTCAAGGTCGAAATGATCTAATGACAAAGCACTGCACTTCGGTATTTTGATGATAAAGGTGCACAGCAACTTTCATTGAGATGTCTTAAACACTTTAAAGAAATTACTGGAAAATCGTATGTATTTGACCCTTGAGTTTGCGGTCAAGGTAGTGCATTTCATATCGGTTCTAGATTATGCAATTATACAGCTGGTTTCGTCACGATATCTAATGGGTTGAGAAGATAGGACACAGACAAGTTATAGTGATTGGACGTCTAGTCGAGTATACACGAGTCTATTGACATTCAATAACCGGCTTGTATCATGGTCCAACAATCAACCGCCAAGAACCAATCACATTTGTCCTGTGTTCCTGAGTACATTTCCCGTCAAAAGCAATCATTGTATGGGTTCAGATTGTGTTATTAAAATTATTATTATATCATTATTACATTCTTAACGGCCCGTCAACACATAAAAGGTAATTAGGGCCATAAAACGGTAAAACACAAAGCGATCCAAAAGGAAATAACATTAAACAAACCAAAAGGTAAAAGACAAACGTTAAAAATCTTACGGGTATGTTAAAGGGACTAAATGGTTAGATTTGGGTTTTTTTTCTCTGTGCATTTGATTTCGGGCAAGAGTTGTAAACAGTTGAAATTAGACTATTTACAAAATTATAGCACTTTTAATGAAAAGCTGGCAAAGATCACCAGCTTCAATCTATCCTAGGCAACGTTCGATGTTGTGTCTGCCGCCATTCGATGTTTTGATCGGGAAAAGCCGAGTACATCACGTGACCTTCCGTAACCTCGTTTTAACCAGCTGAAAATGGAGTCCGAGGTAGATGTAAACATTTGTCATGTGGAGTCAGAATGTATGTTTACTTTTAAAGTGTACGACTTGTATAACCTCTAGGACCATCCATTACTCTTTATTATTGTTTTACTGATAACAGAAATAAATAAAAATGCAGAATATGCTCATATTATATACAAGCTAGGTGCAACATGGAACCCCTACACTGTGTTTGTGGTGATTATGGACTATGGCTATAGGAACTAGGAACTTTGTATATGTAATAAAGGAACCAATTAAAGAATCTGTATTTCGTTTGGACTCATTCGACATCACAGTAAAAAACTCATGGCTGAAAACCCGGGAAAAAGAACCATGAAAATGATGGAAAAGGCACGCCAGGCATTTGAGGACACAGTCGGCAAGTATAAACATAGACTGTCAAATTTACACAGAAATTTAGATTGTCTTATAACTGATATTGAGTATGAAAATATGAACTTGGATGAATTAAAATCCTTGGCATCAGACATTACCCAATCATATGAATCCTATGAACAAGTTTCAACCAAATTCAGTAAATATTTGGAAGAAAGTAGAACGGAACAAGGTCAGGAAGAATTATTATCTCATATGACGGCTGTGGAAACATTAAAATCCCATTGTGACACGGTTTTGGACCAAATTCAATCATTTATTGACAGAATAAACCCAGTTCAAACTGTATCTGACAGTGTGGTCGATACACAGGGGTTTGTAGTTGAGTAAAAATCCCGGCATAGTGTAAGTGAACATAAAAACGGCGTTTCGGATATTAAGTCGAAAACAAGTAAAACCTCAGTGCGTTCTAGCATAACTAACATCTCCAGGGTCAGTTCAGTATATATGAAACAACGAGCGAAATTGGAAGCGGCCAAAGTGAGGCTAAAATTTGCTGAGAAAGAGGCCGAATTGCAAAAATCCCTTCAGCTGTTAAAATCACAAAGAGAACTGGACGAGGCAGCAGCCCAGCTTAAGGCTATGGATGACGTTATTGACACTGGTAGCCCTATCAGACATTGTTCACAAGCACCGTCGGATGATGAGGAGTTACACAGGAAGTCTAGGACAGTTGAATTTGTGCAAAGTCAAGCCGAAAATTTGAACACCGGTTATGAAACATCCGAACCCTATTCACATAAAGTGCCGTTAAACGTTGAGGCTCGAGAATTCACCCCAGGTCAGTGTGTAAATGGACTGAATGATTTGACCAAATTTATGCTAAAGAATGACTTGCTTATGGGTAGACTCACTCAGTTTACTGATAAACCCGAGGAGTATCGTGTCTGGAAAATGTCATTCCTAAATGCTGTAAAGGAACTTGATATAAGCCCTCAAGAACAATTAGACTTATTATCGTAATGGTTGGGGCTAGAATCTCGAAAACAGGCTGTAAGTCTACGTGCTGCAAACATACACGAACCATCCCAAGCCTTGTGTAAAATCTGGACTAGGCTCAGTGAGAAGTACGGCGCGCCCGAGCATATTGAGTTATCTTTGAGGGAAAGGCTAAAGAAATTCCAGAAATTAACGAACCGAGATGGTCAGAAATTATTTGATCTTTCGAACATATTGGCGGAAATTCAGGCAGTAAAGGAAAGCAGCGTTCAGCTCGATGATGGCGTACTACGATTCGTCCAGCGGTATAAACCCGATTGTTTGCAAGTTACCCGTGTTCATACAGAACAAATGGACTGACTATGCGTGCAGATATAAAACCGAGCACAATGTTACATATCCGAAATTCAGTGTTTTCGAGAGGTTCATACAGGAAGTGAGCTCGCGAATGAACAACCCGAGTTTCAATTACACCGATGGTACTGCGGTACCTAGCGTCAGCAAAGAACAACGTCGTACTGCGTCAACCGGAAGTAGGAATGCATACGTCTTTTCAAAGAAAACGGAAGTCAATAATGTGCCTACAGCATTTTTGTGCCCACTTCATGACAGTGCGAGAGAAGTGAAGCATTTGTTAACAGATTGCTACCATTTGGCCAAGGACTGTATAGAAAAAGTAATCTGTGCTGTGTGTTAAGGTTCATCGCATTGCACCATGTTTCATGATGACAAATATCAGCCCCGTCAGTCTCACGGCGAGGAAAGGACAAGTATCAGGGGAGACAATCGTAAGATAAATTCCAAGTGTATCCAGTTGTGCGATGAAACCGGTCCCTTCGTGGGGAAATCGTGTGCAAAAACGGTGTTAGTAAATATCTACAAGGACGGACAACCTAATAATGGTTTGCGTGCTTATGCCATTACAGATGAGCAGAGCAATCGGACATTGGCCAAAAGTGAGTTCTTCGATTATTTTGGAGATCATTCTACGGAAACCAGATACGTACTTTCATCATGTGCCGGTGAAATTCAGGTAACCGGGAGGCAAGGCAGCGGATACGTAATGAAATCATTGGACAAGGAATGCTCATTAAAATTACCGTTGATTACAGAATGCAATCATATTCCGAATGTGAAACAGGAAATACCTACACCGGAAGTTGCACGACACTATAGTCACATGCAGGACATTGCTCATTTTATCCCAGAGTATGAAACCGATACGTCCATATTGCTACTCGTTGGCAGAGATCTCATTTCGGCGCATCATGTGTTGGACCAGCGAACTGGACATGAACGTGAACCATATGCACAGAAATTAAAATTCGGTTGGGTAGTTGTAGGTGAATCGTGCCTAGGTCTCGTTCACAAACCTGCGGTCATAACTGTGAGCAAAACGGTCGTTTTACCGGATGGCAGACCTACTCTCATGGATCCGTGTCCGAATTACTTCAAGGCTCAGTTTGAAAAATCCGATGATAAGTTGCCAATTGGAACGGTCATATTTCAGAGAACAAAATTCGATGATATTCCTGGTTACTCGCAACAGGATAAGGAATTCATGCGTGTCATGGAAGAGGAGTTTATTTAGGACGAGTACGGTAATTGGAGTGCATCGTTACCGCTAAAAAAGAACGACCTACTTTGTCAAACAATATGGATCAGGCAAGGCATCGCGCAGAAAATCTACGGAAGTCGTTACTGAAAAATCCTACTAAGCGCGAACAGTTTTGTGCGTTTATGCAAAAATTTTTTGACAAGGAGCATGCAGAGGTAGCTCCCGAGTTACAAGACGGCGAGGAAGCATGGTATCTACCGATATTCGGGGTTTATCATTCCCAAAAACCCAACAAAATCCGAGTCGTGTTCGATTCGGCTGCAAAGTTTAATGGACATTCGCATAACGACATTCTCATGACAGGTCCGGATCTCATAAACAATTTGGTTGGTGTGTTAATGAAATTTAAGAAGGAACGAATTGCGATTATGGCCGATGTTGAACAGATGTTCTTCAACTTCTATGTACACAAGCGTGACAGAAACTTTCTACGTTTCATATGGTTTCAAGATAATGATCCCACACAACCGCTAAGGGAATTTCGTATGTGCGTGCATGTGTTTGGCAACTCGTCTTCTCTGTGTATCGCCACACTTGGATTAAGGAAATCTGCTTGAGATCATATCGATTCTTCCGCGTGCGACGAGGTGTGTTGTTTCGTCAAAGAGAGCTTCTACGTTGACGATGGATTGACCTCTGTATCTGACGAAGGTCACGCAGTGCAGTTGTTGAGAGACACTCAAGCTCGATTACAGCAAAACGGAAACATTCACTTGCACAAGTTCTCTTCGAACAGTGTTGATGTCTTAAGGCAGTCTCCAATAGAGTATACCAGCGAAATTTGCGATATGGACTTCGATGATATTGTTCATAGGAGTCTCGGACTACGTTGGAAAGTCGGTTGTGATACGTTCACGTTTAGTGTTTCTGATGAGGCGAAACCGTTCACCAAACGAGGCGTACTTTCTACAATACATAGTGTATTCGACCCCCTCGGCTTTGTGGCACCAGTTATTCTCGGAGGCAGACTATTAATGCGAAATGTGTTATCGTCAAAGGATCTCGACTGGGATGACCCTTTACCTCCGGACTTGAACTCTGATTGGAAGAAATGGAGGTCTTCGCTTAAAGATCTGGAACAGTTAGAAATTTCGAGATGTTACTCCAATTCGTCATTGAAAAAGGCAATTCGTCGTATTCTCAGACGCGGCAAAGGATGCTATAGGTGCAGTAGCATACATGAAAATTTATGACGTACAGGAAAATGCTTCTGTTGGATACGTTCTTGGCAAATCGAAGGTAGCGCCTTCCCACGGACATACCATTCCAAGACTAGAACTGTGCGCGGCTGTTCTAGCTACTGAACTCGGTCTATTCATATCCGAACACGTCGATGTTGTGTTTGACGCCACCTACTACTATACCGACAGTCAGGTAGTACTAGGGTATATATTTAACGACACGCGCCGTTTCTTCGTGTATGTTGCTAATCGGATTGACAAGATTCTGAAGTTATCTTCCAAACAGCAGTGGAGTTTTCGTGTCTAGTGAATGTAACCCTGCCGATAGTGCGACGAGGCCAATGCGTGCGAAAGACGTTGGAAAGCCAGTGTGGTTGAACGGACCCGTTGACATCATGAGTGATTTGCAAAGTTCGTATACAGACCAAGTATTTCCGTTGATCGGTAACGACGACAGTGAAATAACGTTCGTCAAGGAAACAAATGTCATGAAAACTCACGTTCGGAAGGACGTCGCTCTCGATTCTGACCGTTTCGCGAGATTTTCGTCATGGACTAGGTTGGTTAGTGCAATAACCTTACTGAAACAAGTCGCGCATCGTCATCACAACGGAACAGACAATCCAGACGTGTTGCGTTTTGTTAACGATTCAAAGAACCTCATACTGAAGGTTGTTCAACAAGAGTTTTATTCGATGGAAATCGACTGTTTACAGAAAGGACTGCCGTTAAACAGAAACAATTCTTTGTTGAAATTGTCGCCGTTTCTAGTCGACGAGGGGCTCCTGAGGATTGGTGGTAGGATTCAGAATAGTGACATTGACTTACCTGGAAAGGATCCGATCATTGTCCCAGCAAAACATCACGTGGCTACTCTAATCGTGAGACATCACGAGAAATCGGAACACCAAGGCCGACATATTACGGAGGGTAAAATACGTTCTTCTGGTTATTGGCTAGTGGGAGGAAAGCGATTAATTTCCTCTATTTTACATCACTGGGTCGTGTGCAGGAAACTCCGAGGAAATTTTGTGGAACTAAAATGTGTACTTTACCGAAGGCTCGTTTGACACTATGTCCGCCTTTCACTTACATTGAATTGGATGCGTTTGGGCCATGGAATGTGCGCGCGAGAAAAACTAGGGGAGGACAAGCTAACGCAAAACGTTGGGCTATAATATTCTGTTGCATGGTATCGAGAGGGATACATATTGAGGTCGTAGAGGAGATGAGCACATCTTCCTTCATTAACGCACTGCGGAGATTCATCGCGCTCAGAGGACGGTAAAGCACATTAGGTCGGACAAAGGATCTAACTTCGTAGGAGCCGTTAAGGAACTTAACTTGAATGTTATTGACGTCGAGGACAAAGCCGTGAAAGACTTTCTTTGAGAGGAAAGCATCACATGGACTTTTAATCCTCCATATGCCTCCCATATGGCCGGATCTTGGGAACGGCTTATTGGTACCGTTAGAAGGATTCTGGACAGCATGTTGCGTAATACTGACACTTTACATCTCACGCATGAAGTGCTTACGACTTTTCTAGCCGAAGCGTGTGCTATAGTGAACCAGCGACCACTGGTACCCGTATCTGACGACCCTGAAAACCCAGTGGTATTGTCGCCAAGTACACTTATTAAACAAAAGACTGACGTTCCAAATGTAGATCTAACCTTGGTAGACTTCTCAGTGAAAGACATGTTTCGATCCTAATGGCGATGTGTTCAGGTATTGGCCCAGAAATTTTGGAACGCGTGGAGAAGAGACTATCTACAATCGCTACAAACGCGACAAAAGTGGAATCACGAACGTTCAAACTTGAAACAAGGTGACATTGTTTTGCTGAAGGATCATGACTCTCATCGTAATAACTGGCCAATGGGAATTGTTGAATGTGTTTTCCCTAGTCACGAAGGTCTTGTTCGTAAAGTCAGAGTTAAGACAATTCGTAATGGACGATCGGTTTCGTATATCCGTCCTATTACTCAGTTAGTATTATTGATGGCAGAGTGAATTATTGTGTTGAACATTGACAGCGATAAGTGAATTTTGTTGCTTAGAGACTTTAGTTGATTGTTATTCAGATAAGTTGTGATATTACATATTTTCATCGGGTTATAAATAATATGAATGTTTACAGGGTTTAAATGTAGTAGTGATTTAGCAATCAGGCGAGGAATGTAGTGAAACGCTAGTTTTATATTGTCTGTCCGCTCTAGTGTCAGGTCAGGGTTCAGAGTTCATTCTTTGTACGTCGTGGAAAAATGCATCATAGGATATGTTTACGTGAAAGTCCAAAGGAAACAGACGTGCAAATTTGGCAAGGCTTATGTGACCCATGAGGTTGGGGCGCAAGCTAGGTGCAACATGGAACCCCTACACTGTGTTTGGGGTGATTATGGACTATGGCTATAGGAACTAGGAACTTTGTATATGTAATAAAGGAACCAATTAAAGGTATTTAGAATCTGTATTTCGTTTGAACTCATTCGACATCAAATCTCGGACTTATTATTGTTAGATAGTCTTATCAGTCCTGTTTCGACACAAGACGTGAAAACGAAAGATAAAAAAAAATAGATTTAATACCAGATTATAGAGCTCGTGTTTCTGCTCATAAAGCTAAGCAACACGCAAATTGAAAATATTAAGACAATTCTCGTTCTAAGTTTTACACAAAAATTGATAGATCTAGCGTGTTTCTTTGACAACTATCATTATATATTTTCCGCTTTGTCATAGCAGTACAGTAAGGACCATTTCAATCGTTTTATCACAAAATTATTATTATTATTTGCTAAAATCACTGGGTATGTCTTTGTTTGCAATTGCCATTTCTAGCCTTATAATATTGATAATCCAATATTTTTTATCATTGATGTATTATTTCATAGGACAGAACTAAAAAAAAATAATTATATGTCAGATGTAGGTTTTGAGTTGTCAGTCATGTTCACTAACATGGTTTTTGTATTTCAGTCAACATCAACAGCATCATCACATTCATCATCCTTAAGTCAACATGATAGGGACAGTCCAACCTATGGAAGAGGTAGAGGTGGCAAGAGAAGAGGAAGAGGTGGCCATAGCAGAGGATGTGGAGTCCGAGAGACTCGGGGAAGAGGTCAAGAGACATCAGCAAGTAGACCTCGAGGCAGAGGGCGAGGAAGGGGAAGGACTAGAGGGACACGAGCAGACAGTGCTGTTGATGCCCTTCAACAAAGGAGGCAGACGTTAAGGGTTTGTATGGATTTTACATTAGGAGTACAATTCCTTTTTCAAACCAATTACAATATATATAAACAGCAATGCAGGTTTTATGCCCCTAACATGAAGTTGCAACCTGGGCAAGTGCTGACACTTGCCATTTATTGCGTCTTCATTGGAAGAATGTATGGAATTAAAATGTGTATACATATGTAGTATGAAAAGATGTAGGTCAAGTTATCTGGTATGCTTTGTTTCTGTAATTCTTTTTTTCTCGAGTTTTCATTTTTCTACAATATCTTCATTTTCTGAAAGCTTGATATTGGGACAGGGCACTACTGAAATATGAAATGTGACATTTTTGATGAGATACAGGACTAGTTAATGTATTGTTTATAGTTGACCTATGTTTTATTGTTGTATTTGGCACTTGCAGAAAAAAATTCAGGAAACTCAATAAATGCTCATTTTCTCTGCACTGGATAGGGGCATAGCATGGAAAGTTGATATGTAGTTGTATATTGTTTATATAAGTGTAGCAAATAACCACGTGTCACACCAACCTATACTGTATCTGATGTACAATGGGTATTACTGTATTTATTGGACATAGTTTAATAGTAATTTGCTAATAATACATTTGATTTTATATATATATATAGAACAGAGTTAATGAAATGGAGGCTGCAGATGCCATGTCACTACTTTTGCGGGTAGTTGAACGCTTCTCGTCAATGGTCTTTGATCTTGTGGAAGATGCTGGAGCAGCTGGAAGTGGAGGATATCACCCACCACCCGGAGCAAATTCACCTCCTTGGTGCTCCTTTGGAAACTGCCGGGAAATGCCAACAGCGCCTGAACGCTTGTGTTGCAGGAAGGATCCAGCAAACTGCATAACCAATCTGCCGGTAAGACCTAGTTTTATGTGATATAAATTCATCCCTTTATACTTCTTTCCAATAATTAGATTAATCCTTTGGTTTGGTTTGCGTTTTACCTTTTTCAATGCAATTTGACTTCTTTGATCAGTTGATGACCTAAATAAATCTTAACATGCAGTATGCCTGGTCAAGTTACATTTTCTCCTCAGGACTTTCAAGTGTTGGTGTTGGATGAAGCGGTTTTGGCACTAGCAAGATTATACCGCCAGGATACGTTTGCCTTGCCAGAAGAGGAAGACTGGAACAAGGCAAATCGACATGCTGCATACAGACAATACATTTTTTGGCAGCTTGGTCGCCTAGGAACAGGTGATCGCCGCGTTATACCAAGTTGTGCCGTTTGGAAGATCCGAGAAAGGTATCCGGACCAATTTGGACAATACACTGGTTTTAAGGCTTCACGCTTGGCATAGTTCTGGGCGTTTCGTTTTAAAAATAATGTTGTGATTGTTTTGACATAACATACTTTGTGTGTACACAATGACAACAAATAAATCTTTTCATTTTATTGGATCGTTTTGTTTTATTTACTGTATTTATATACAGTGTAACCTGTCTAAACCGGCCCCTGTGTAATCCGGATCACTTTCTATTTCGGCCTTATTGTTTGGTACTGGCATTTCAAAATCTTAGCAATAGTTACCTCTATAAACCGGACACCTGTATAAACCGACCAAACGTTTGTTCCTGATAGCATTTGGTTTAGAAAGGTTATAATGTATATATAAATTTTAAAAACTCTTTGCAAACTAATTTCATCAGTACATTTGTGGAATAATGATGATTATTGGTATGGATAACACATGAAGTACAATTTTGGTTTACAAATGCATTTCTTTACACAGACAACATTGAGAGAGAGTCCAATTGGACATGCACATAAACAAAATATCTATGAAGTGTTCATCCACAAGACACACAAGCTAAGTACAATACTATAACCTTTTCATTATCTGGACACAAAAGTAATTGTGAAGATCAGTTACTAGACTGCAATGGGGTGTGCTGATATCAATGGGTTAGGCTGATGACCATGGATTGTTGACATTACTGGGTTAGGCTGATGATCATGAAGTGTTGACATCAATGAGTTAGGCTGATGACCATGGAGTGTTGACATCAATGAGTTATGCTGATGACCATGGAGTGTTGACATCAACTGGTTAGCGAGTGTTGACGTCATCTTTATGTTTATTGAAGATAATTTTACTGTTGGACATCGTAAATGAATATTATAAGGACCAGTATCTTATAACACTAAGGTTGAGGTAATATTAGGAATAAACATATGTACCATTACACAAAGACATCAATGTATGGACACATCAGGCTAGAAAATCAGGAGACAAAGTCTTGTATTTTTTTTTCCGTTCATTTTAAACGGGACCTTTTCTTTTCTACCAGCTGGGTGGTGGGGGAACATCAGCAAGAACCGCCGATATCCTTCTGGGATCTTTTGGGTCCAGGGGTTTTGGTTTTGACATTCCAGTTCGATCTGCAATTCTCTTCTGGACAATCAGATTGATGAGCCCCTGGATATGTGGGTACGTCTTTCCCACTTTGTATGGTACAACTGACCAACGGGCACGTTTTTTGTTGTATATCCTGTGGTACCTGTAAGAAATGCCAAAAATGAAAAAACATATTTTCCTACTGAAAATCAATGTTAATTTCAATCACTCAAGCAAACAAATTTCAGTAAAAATTTGCCAATCATATCGTAAAAATTACAGTGGTCATCTGGTAGCATGCAAAGGAAGCATTGTAAGATTTCTTGGTTTGATTGTTATGAATAATTTTAAAATATTTACCGGATGGAACCATCTTGGTTCTTCTGGATTTCTCTGTCAAGATGGGCATTGTAATCCAATGCTGCCAGGAAATTTCTTGCCCGATATACTGGAGGTGTATACGCAAATCTCTTACTGGCATACATAAGAATCAGTTGATGGAAATTTTCCAGTTCGGCTGTACTTCTGGAAAGAATATAAAGATAAAGTAACAACACTAAATGTAAATCCATCCACATGTATGAAATAAATATTTTTGACAGATGAACAATAGAGCATTTGTTATAATGTATCTCTCAATCACAGAGATTTCACCTAAAAGGTAGCTCTCATAGATCATGTCACCAATCATACGCAAAATACTGACAGTAATAATAATCATAACGATACAAACCTGAAATTCAGGTAATATGGTATCTTGTTCAGAAATGGTTTGTACAGGACCAATTTCCGCAAGGTCACATGTGCATCAGTCCCTTTCTCCAAGTACCTTTGGTCACCTTCACCTGTAGTTAGAGGACCATGTGCACAATCTGTCACCCCTGAGTCTGTGTAGGGCACTGTCCAAGAATGCTCATCCACTACGTGATGAAGTATTCCACACCAGCTTCCCTGTTATAACAGACTTCATTATTATACTCGGCGTCAATGAAAACGCAACACCTTTAAATTACTGTCAAAATTTACCAGTTATAGTTTTGAATACAATATTTAATAAAATACCTAAAAGTTGATTATGTCCATAACAAAATTCACTCAATGCAATCAGCACTACATCATGGGAATACTTTGATTTCGGTGACTAATGTCCATACCCCCAAAATCAAAATTACCACGTTCAATATCTAATGTGGCCACCATTTGCAGCGACACAAGCGCGGCATCTTCGAGGCATAGACCGAATAAGGCGTTGAATTTTGATTTGAGGAATGTTCCCCCACTCTTCCTGAAGAGCGATTTCAAGCTGCCGACGCGTCTGGGGCTGTTGTGGTCGCTCTCTCACAGCCCTACCCAATTGGTCCCAAAGATGCTCGATCGGACTAAGATCCGGGGAAAACGCGGGCCACGGAAGGGTTGCGATGTTCTGATGTTGACGGTAGTCTGTAGTGATACGAGCGGTATATGGTCGTGCATTGTCCTGTTGTAATAACGCTACGTTTGGGTGTCCAGCAAAGAATGGAACAACAGCAGGAGTTAAGACCTCGTTGATGTAGCGCTGTGCTGTTAGATTGCCGTCAATAATTACTAGAGGGGTACGGTATGCAAAAGAGATACCTCCCCACACCATCACACTGCCGCCGCCCCACCTATCCGTTTCCGTTACACAGCAGTCCAAAAACTTTTCACCTCGACGTCGCCACACTCGAATTCTATCGTCATTTCCTCTGAGGCGGAATCTCGATTCGTCGGTGAACAGGACGCCAGCCCACCGACGTTGGGTCCATCCTCGGCGCTGTCTTGTCCAATTTAGATGATTTTGACGGCGAATTTGAGTCAATTCGTTTCCTCTAAATGGACGGCGCGACGCCAATCCGGTTGTGCGAAGGCGACGGCGCACAGTAATAGCTGACAAACGTCTGCCATGACTTCCTATCGTCTGTCTAGCCGTTCTTGTCGCGGTTTGAAAACGATCTCGCAGGTGACTTAGTCGAATGTAACGGTCCTGGTTTGGCGTCGTCACTCTGTCGCCCCGGACGAGGTCGATCTCTCACGGATCCGGTTTGTCGCACTCGTTCTGCCAGTCGATTGATTGTGGAAGCAGAACAACCCATTCTCCTGGCAACTTCCATCTGAGAAAGCCCTCCTGCCAGCATACCCCGAGCTTCGTGTCTTTCATTGTCTGTCAGTCGAGGCATTTGTAGCAAATAATGATGACAATTTAAAAGATTGATGACGGAAAAAGTCTGTAACTACAGTGTTCACTAGTAGTGACTGAGCAAGGATATAACGCACTTTAGAGCGCCGACGTGCAAACTCATACTTTTACGACAATGCCCTGTGGTACGACAAGGAGTTGATATTACTCGACCATTATTTCGTTAGTTTTGTAGTGCATTGTGTTGTGGCTAAATACAGCAGAATAAGAATCTAATCCTTGTTGTGAAGAATATGTTATGTCCAAAATTTTAGTGTTGCGTTTTCATTGGCGCCGAGTATATTACACTATATAATAATGCAACAGTATGTTTTATTTGAAATAAACACATCCTGATAGGATAAAGAATTTTTTATACAACTAAGCAGACCAATACTTCACCTCTTTACATTTTGATACACCATAACATACTAATATGTATATCAGGTATCCCTATTCTCCCAATGACAGTAGCTATATAATAATTGACATATGAAAATATCTGGACGCCGTGTTCTATTTCACTGATAATAACTGCTTTTGATTCTTGAAAAAGACGCTCTAGAGTGTCATCCCAGCAAAATGAAGTTCCAGGTTTGAGCAGTTGTCTGAATGCTTGCATCCTTTCAGTCATGCTGAATGCATATGACACTTGATTTACAAGGCCGAACCAAGATATCATATCAGTTATGTTCTTAGGTGAAGGGAAGTCCAGAATTGCTTCAAGATAACGGCTGCATGGTCGCACACTGTCACGAGTAATTTCAAAGCCAGCAAACAGAACAGTATCTTTTGCAAACACAAATTTGTCTGGATTCAGAATGATATCATTTTTTCCACAGGTTTCTAGCCAATTGCACGATTGAAAGAAACTTTGCTTGATACTGTCCGACCAAGGAAGAGCATCATCTATACACTTTGTTTTGATCAGAAATGACAGACAGTTCTGGAGGCGACGTTTAAATGTGGATTGGCTAAAGATTTTGCAGCTTCAGCTTCATACGTACCTCCATCATAGGTAAGTAGGCCGATACTATTTTCAGATAACTTTATTATCCAAAATGATGGAGGTCTGAAACATACAAAAAGTAACATTGTAAATAAAATCAACTATCTGTTGGTAAGACATAAGTAATAGACTAACAAATAAATACATAATCCTCTAATATATGTATATCATATAATACATGTAGAGTATGTATTCACATAACTCAACCTTATTAGAAAGACACAAACACAAAGAACAATTTCAGGGGCTAGACTTGTTGTGTCTGACAATTTAAAAATTGTGTGAAAATGACATACATTCCCTCATAATCTAAGCCTAAAAATATCATAATGACTGTAATTTTTAGTGTCTATGATCAATTTATTTTGATACAAATAAAAGACAACATATATCAAATCATGAATGTATCTTGGTATGGACTAATTGACCTGTATTATTACGTCATAATTAAACAATTACCTCAATGTGGTGTCACGACTGGGTCCCGCTGGTTGGTCGGCTCTCGCGATCGTAGTTTCATAACTGTATAACGAGATGACACACTTTGAACATGTATTTTAAAAAACCCGCAAAATTTACGTTCGCTTTTAGCTTAATTGCTGTAATAAAAACCCTACATTCAGAATTCCCCATTGGGTGCCCTATTTCTCTTTCACATTCACTGATTCAGACCCATGGAGGCCAATATTGACAGATTTCGGTTGTGTACAGGCCTTCAGTATCTTTCATTAATTGCATATCGACATCCATTACTTATAC